AGGAGACAGGAAGTGGACCTGACCTGAGAAATAGGAGACAGGAAGTGGACCTGACCTGAGGAAGAGAATACAGGAAGTGGACCTGACCTGAGGAAGAGAATACAGGAAGTGGACCTGACCTGAGGAACAGGAGACAGGAAGTGGACCTGACCTGAGGAACAGGAGACAGGAAGTGGACCTGACCTGAGGAACAGGAGACAGGAAGTGAACCTGACCTGAGGAAGAGGAGACAGGAAGTGGACCTGACCTGAGGGGGAATAGGACACAGTAGCGGATGAAGACGCCAACGCCCCAGATGACGGTGAGCCGGAGGCTGATGTATCGGAAGTTCTGGTTGGTTCTGGTGAGCAGGTTCCAGGAGGCGAGTTCCTCGGAGGAGAAGCGCTGCGTCACCTGGTCGTCCACGATGCTCTCTAGACCTTTCTTACTGAAGAACGAGACGTCGCTCAGAGAGAACTGCTGCCCCAGAACCTCCTGCATGGAGCCGCCGGCCCGCTCGATGATACCTGGAGGCAGCACACGGAGGCCCGGGTCCGTCAGACAAGAACACAACAGGTTCTGTGATCATGTCTGCGAATATTCTGTATTTTTAATGTTATGTTGATTCAAAGGCACTGAACCGTGAGCTGTCTCTGACAAACAGCAGAACATCATCAGTACAACGTCCTACTGGGTCTGCTGGTTCTGGTCCATCCGGGCACAGTCCACACTCCTGTTGTGTGTCTCCTTATGGCTGATTTGTGTTACTTTAGTGTGTGTCTGTGTGTTTATGTGTGTGTTTTTGTGTTTTAATGAGTGTTTTTGTGTGTTTCAGAGTGTTTGTGTGGTTTGTGTGTTTTTGTGTTATTTTGTGTATTTCTGTGTGTGTGTTTGTGTAACTGTGTGCGTCTCCCTGTGTGTCTGTGTGTGTGTGTTTCAGTGTGTGTATCTGAACTGCATCCTGCTGTTTGCCTAACGTTGCGTAACCTGCGGTTGCATCATCACCCTGAGACGAGTCGTGTGTTTGTGGCAACTGAAGCGACCAATCAGGAGCCTGGAGGGTCACATGACCGCTGTGTGCAGGACGTTGTGTTCAGACACACAAACAGGGAACTGCTGCTTCAACACACTCTAATCCACAGTCACACACTTCTGCTCTGTAAAGCTCCACAAACTGATCACAAGTTTCCCGCCTGACGGGACGTTAACGGGACGTTACCCGGACGTTACCTGGACGTTTGTCCAGTTCTGATGCACTAAACTTTTTTTTTTTTTTTTTTAAAAACACCTAAACTTGTCAAAACATGACAGTTTTTGCAGTTTTTTGATGCAGCGAAATCCTGAGTGAAGACAACAGAAATGTTTTAGATCATCTCAAAACTCACATTATTTAATATTTAAAAACCTAATTTAGCATCTTCTGTATGTTCTGGTGATTAATTACTGTAATGACTTATTATTTAGTCAGTTATTAATCAACATATTTTCTCTATAAAATGTCAGAAAATAGTGTAAAAACTTATTTAATTCAATAAATCAGCATTTAAAAAAATCACAAAATTTACTTCTCTTAATATATTTAAATTATTTCTTGATGTTCCATCCATCCATCCACCCATCCACCCATCCATCCATCCACCCATCCATCCATCCATCCATCATCCATCCATCCATCCATTTTGTTCCTGTTATCCGGGTCGGGTTGTGGGGGCAGTAGGTGGAGCAGGTCATTCCAGACTTCCCTCCCCCGGCGACGCTTTCCAGATCTTCCCAGACCAGCCCAGAGATATAATCCCTCCAGCGGGTTCTGGGTCTGCCCCGGGGTCTCCTCCCAGGCGGACGTGTTCCGAAGACCTCCAGAGGAAGCCTCCATGGAGGCTCAGATGTCCAAACCACCTCAACTGGCTCCTTTAGACGTGAAGGAGCAGCGGCTCTACTCTGAGCTCCCTGCAGATGTCTGAGCTCCTCACCCTATCTCTAAGGCTGAGCCCAGCCACCCTGCAGAGGAAACTCATTTTGGCTGCTTGTAGCCGCGATGTCGTTCTTTCAGTCACGACCCAAAGCTCGTGACCATAGGTGAGGGTTGGGACGTAGATGGACTGGTAGATCGAGAGCTTCGCCTTGTGGTTCAGCTCTCTCTTCACCACGACGGTCCGGTACAGCGCCCGCATTACTGCTGACGCTGCACCGAGCCGCCTGTCCACCTCACGCTCCATCACTCGTGAACAAGATCCCGAGATACTTAAACTCCCTCGCTTGGGGAAGCAACCCCCCCCACCCGGAGGTGGCAATCGTCTGGTTTCCGGCAGAGGACCATGGCCTCGGTCAAATCCCCATGCCCCCCTCAGCAGCTCCGCAGGGGTAAAGAGCTGGTCCACTGTTCCACGACCAGGACGGAGTCCGCATTGCTCCTCCTGAATCCGAGGTTGGACAGTCGGTCTCCTTTCCAGCAGCAGAGTAAAGTTCCTGGGGAGGCTTTTTGGTTGGTCTGATTTATCTATTCAGTTCAGTAGCTCTCTCTGGTTGTTGCTGCTGAGGTGTATTTTGTACATATTTGT